CGCAAAGATCCATAATTCAATTCCATCGAAGTCTGGAGCTCGGCAAACTTGTTCGAATAAACAAGTTCTACGGTGTGCTTTGTGCGCTTACTTGTGAAAGGTGCTTTTACAAAAATTCGCACAGAAAAGCATAGTGGAGGTCGAACCAAATCAAAAAAGAGTGGTCGAACCTTCACAGTGAAAGCAATCTAGGGATGGAATTCTTAATAATCTTACATGGAAAAGCTACAACCTTATGTTATGTGCGAATTTTGTTCAACAATCACGAAAGTAGTTGTCGAATCTAATGTGACACCAGAAGATGCTCTACGTAGGATGATTGACCGATCAGCCGATCTACGAGCGTCTTAGACTTGCTTTGAAAGTCAAAGTCTATGCTGCTGAGTGGTGTGGCCGAAAGGCTTGAAAAGTCGGGACTATGCTCAACTTTCCGCTCATAAATTCAAAACGAGTTCACTTTTGAAACTTATCGGCCAACAAAGAATTCCATTAATTCTAATTCATTTTTCCAAGGGAAAGGATGAAGTAAAGAGATAAGAGAGCGTCATAAAATTCTTCACAGCAGGAAATAAAATATTCAAAAGATAATAAAAAAGATCAATCAAGAAATGCCCTTGCAGGGTCAGATAGTGTGGAAATGGCATCTCACACTACAAGCTGTGCTCTTCACTACGTCATTGATAAGTAGTAGTAATCAATAACCCATCGGTCGGTACATCTTTTTTAAAAAGTTCGAATATTACTGAAGAACCTTGTGGTACGAAATGCAAGGAGCTTCTGCTACACCTTCAGGTCACCACAATTCACTGATTACCAGTAGAAATGGGTTCGTAAAGTTGGTGCCATTCGGATCGGTTTATTGCTCCGTGTGATTGATAAGTTGACAAGCTTGCTCGGGTGGCCGGGAAACATCTAAGGGTCAAAGTGTATACCAGTAGCCGTTTACCTTAAAAGGCAAAAAGGGCCGTAGCTAATTCGCAAAAGAGATTTTCGGTGGCTTTGTTCCATCGCATAATGAAAATCAGAAAAGTAGAGAGGTTCCCCAAATCTGGGAGGTGGAGAGGAACACCCCTCCCACTGGTTGGTGCATTCTGATACGCACGGAAAAATGGGATACTTGGGATAATGACTCAAGAGTAATCCAGTAAATGAGGGGGACAATGATTGATTATCTGCGAATATAAAATATGATCATGAAAGTGGTGACGGTTAAAAGCGGCAGCAGCTACTGCGATTGAAAGGTGTCGCCATCAAATGTGCTGATAACTCCAGTGACACTCATCGTTTTTTCGGAAGCCTATTTAAGAAAAGCTGATTGCGCTCACAAGCGAGCAGCATAGACTTAAATTTTCGACACTCCGAAATCAGCTAAAAGTCGTAGACAGGTGGGGTGATCATTCTGATAAGTTCCTCGATCACACACAATTCTGTGTTGGCAGCTAAAGGTTCGATAAAAAACTGAATCTCTAATACCACGAGCAATGCTCTCAGAAGACTCCAAGGGTGAACTTCGGGAGAAATTCCCATCCAATAAAGGCTTTCTAGCATTTTCGGTGAAATTTGCCTTCATAGAGCCTTCATGTCTCATTGACTGTTGAAATCTAGATTATTGAAGGACGCCGTTCGCTATTTGGGATATCCAGAAGTACACTTGTAAAGCACTCAAGCTGACTTCTGAAGTAGTTCTAAAATGAAATAGGAATTCGAAGATAATCTCGTCCTCGTGGGCAAGTCACCCAGATCATGATCTAAACGGGAGAACCACCAAATTTGTTGACGAAATATTTGTGCGTGAAGTCGGAGTCCAACATCTTATCTGCCTCTCAATCATAAATACAGTAGGTACCACAAAGCACAATTGTCGGCACCCCCTCAAATATCGATAGCGCTGCGCTGCAAAATGAGATGCAGTCTAGAAAAAACTGCTTACGATTATTCAAAGGGCATGCTCTGTGAAAAAGATAACAGCCTCACCAATTAACTCTTCTTTTCCCTCTTCTTTGAAGGTCCAGTTCAAGAAAAGTTTAGGTTTTGTAGTATTGGATGAGTAAATTGAGTGATAGTCTGGGATAGTGCAAAAAGGTCAAAAAGTGGTGAGATCAGTGATTGGACGAGAATCTAGCGACAAAAGCTGCATGGAAGGAGTATTGGGACGAGCTGTTCGAATGCGCACGCCATTGCATACAGCTGGCTGCAATAAGCTTCCTGCGTGCAAGTTGTGGGTCCCGTTGCGAATGGTACAATAACTACTGCTTTTAACCGCTTGATAACTCGACCGCCTTGGGTGTATACGTCGGCGGGTAACGAAACTTTTCCCCGATTGCGGCATGCGGCAAATGTCACCGCAATTACCGTACTCACCCCGCCCCCCGCCAATCGATATGGCGCGACATTTTTCGTTGGTTGCCTTTCTTCTTTACTGGTTTTGATCGTTTTTTATCTTTCTTTTTCTTGCTTTTTATGTATATTAGACTTGTTTAATTAGATTGACTCTTCCTATATTGGCGACGATCAATACCGCATTGGAATGGAAGGGAGCGGTCAGCCAATTCAAATAATTAAGGGACTCCCTACCTCTTAAATTGCGCGCTCCAATCTTCCANCGCAATCCTGCGATACGCGGCGGGTGCGGCGTACGCCGCCTTCGGGGGAATGTTCCCGTACCCATACATCGGCTAAGCCCTTCTTGAGAGCCTATTGACGCGCTCTCCAACAGGTCCCTTGGGCTATTCTTGGAGGTCACAGGTTCATCCTTGAGGGAAATCTCAGGAACCATTTTAACATGAAGTGTGCCTTCAGTGCCCGTTGCGTGAATTACCTCTATCACCACAATGAGCTGAATGCTCAGTTTTCCCTTTCAAAAGAGATGCTCGAAATTTGGAAAGGAATGTTTCTTTGTACGGGCTTTGTCCCAATAGCAGAGCGAGTTGGATGGGTTATTATGCACGACGTGCAGCGCCACCGCACTCCAGCACGCGCACTCTCGACCGTGGGAACACTGGTGAGAAGCCCACTACCTAGTCGAATGTTGTAATTTGTATCAATTTCTATCCAAACTTCCAAAAACCTGATGTGAAAGTTTCGAGGTAAGAGGAGGCTTTAGGTTCGAGCTCAACCTCATCGATAACGTAACTTGAATGACTTGCAGGTGAACCGCCTTTAGAGTAGTATCGAATGTATACCACTGATACACGACGTCATTCACAAACACTTTAACACTCTCTTGTACACAATCGCGTCAAGTTTATGATATTTGTCCGAATATGTATTGTAACCATTCCCAAAATAGTATTTTCTTCAATTATTTCTTCAAACTTTCTTCATAAGCTTTTTGTATGTCTTTCATCCTTGTACGAGCATCCTAAAAACATTCCTTATAAGAAGAAAGTAGGAGAATAAAGCGGTGGTGGTGCAGCGACAAGTGCCGCGACAAGTGACACGTCAGACGACCGATACTCGTGTCGGTATTGGTCAAGGTGAGCCAAGCCTTTCCTTGGGAGTCGGCTCATTGGCACTCTAATCGTCTAGCACGATAGAAACAATGACTTCTAATTAGCCTAGCCACAACAGGTCATTGTGTAGGACGCATTCAAAGCTTACTGCGACTCTATTTAAATGAACATTGAAAGCTGGGGTGCATTCCAAAATGGAATTGGTCAGGCCGAGGAACCTTTTGCCCCCATCATACATAGGAAGTACAGACTATTTATTTTTTGGAGATCGCTACAGCTGAAGTCTCACAAGGTTGGCGATTTGTGGGCAAAACTGCAGTCTTGGACGGGACTCGAACCCGTACTTGTCCTTTCCGGGTATCGTGCTCTTATCCCTTACACTACCGAGAACCTCTGTCTCGGTAGTGTAAGGGATAAGAGCACGGTCCCTGGAAAGGACAAGTACGGGTTCGAGTCCCGTCCGAGACTGGAGTTTTGCCCACAAACCGCCAACCTTGTGAGGCTTCCGCTTCGCGCACTGCGGCGTTAAAACAGCAGTTAACAAAACATCAAGTCAAAACAAGCGCTACAGCTAAATTATGCGCGGAAATATCTTTAGACACAGATCGCGATTGAATTGGTTCTGCAAATTTTGTATCAGGAAGGAACATAGGTCCGGATTTGGAAATTACTGAAAAATCAACGAATGTTTTTTTTTAACGATCCATCTCTTAGGATTGACGAGGTTATCGCTACAAGGAAGTTGTTCGTTCGAGATTTCAATGGAATGATGAACATTAGCCATTATCGTGTATGTGCCGACTGTACATCCGTGCCCCATTTCAAGTGGGGGTAGCCTCCACAAGTTTGTTAGACCGCCGTGTTTGGGTGTATTGAACGGTAGGGAATGCCTGAACCCTTTTTCGTGCCCTCAGTAAGCTTCCCATAAGCCGCTTCTCAATCCGAAACGTCCTACGCGTTGATTCCACAACCGTAGCTTCCTATAAATCGAGAAAATCGAATACCTTTTTTCAGCCAGTTGTGCTTGGAAGGATAACTTTCAGGGAATTTCAGTTATCTGCGCAGCTCACTATGCATGCTTTATTCAAAGGATGAATCGTGTAGCGTCAGAAACTATTGAGTTACCCAAGAAATCAGTTCGAAACAAGTTGATGCACTAAAAATTCTGTTCGGCCAATCAAAATGTTGACAAAACGGACCATTTGATACTAACTTTATTCCAAGGTGTTGAATTGTCATTAGCCAGGATAGGATGGAACTCGAGGCTGCGCTCAACTGCTACGATGACATTCATTACGCTTCCGTGAATACCCATTCTTAGCTTTTCGACGGAATATCAAGTGGCTCTACCTTGTTGGTTTCATACAGCCTATTGACTATGACCATTTATGGTCCCAGTGTGGTGCCACGTCGTCAGAGAAGAGCACAATACAAGCTACTCCCAAGCAAATCAACCTGCTCTTCCTTCATAGATGAACAATTTCGACGGTCTTTCAAGCACAGAATGGATGTTGGAAATGTTGCTGCATGCGCTGACTGTATTTCTTTCTATTCCTGAACACATTGAGAAATCTGAAACGAATCTACCTCCAGTGCTGTCCAACCACCGAGTGATGCAAGTCGGAAGGCTAGAGCGAGTAGAACGCAAAAGTGAATTTTCTTGTGAAATGCACCCGGTCTGGATCTGAAGAAAAATTGCACTCTAAGTTAGTGAATACCATTTTTGACTGATAAAGACCCAGATCAGACGACCTTTACGAACAGTCTGCTTATTCCGTTTCTCACCAAAAGAAAAATAACTCCTGGTAGAGACGGGAATCTTAAGGAAAAACAAACACTTGGCAACATACTTAGCACATTTCTTTGCCAGATCCTCCACATCGAAACACTCCTTTTTCTCTATGTCCTTCATGAGAATCGTGGATACCCATACGACAGGACCCCTGGAAAGGTCAGGACTAGTTGAAGTTCGACAGAGGCAGAGACCTCGAAGGGAATCACAGTTTCCTATCAAATGGTACCTTCCAAGGCCATCGTGGCTTTGAATGACCACAGGTGGAACATAACTGTCTACCGACTGCCGCATTATCTGAAACATCTTGACTTTGGGGACGACCTCAACATGTATGAGAAGAAAGATCACAAACCTGGACTTCTCTCCTTGATAACGCATGAACAAACGGTCCAAGAAGGTCGAGATCGGGCCAAGTATCCGATGGCCATGCTTCAAAGTGCATGAGTGTCAACTATAAGTATACCTTACAGGAGGTAGAATTACGGTACGCTCGAAGAAATGGTCTTTCTCAACGGCTAGTTATTCAGTGGGAAACGCATGGCTAGTGGCTTTTGAGGTTTCTACCATCCCTGTGATCGGTTCTCTTTGGTATTCAGAGTAGATATCCAATCATGAAAATGTGCCCCTTCTAGGCTACTGTGTGATCACTGGCCGGTACCTAGTGACTTTTGATGGATTTATTTCTAAGCAGTAAGGGTAGCTTTTCCCTCACAAACTTAGCCCCATACCGGTGTATCTGCGGATTTTCCTACGATGTTGGTACGGGTACGCACACAGGCACAAGCTGCAAATATTCTTATCAATGTCAGGCCAACGAAGGTCGCGGTTATCGTGAAAACTAATCTTGCCGACCAGATGTAGAGTAGAGTGAAGGCCTTGCAAAGCAAGACAGAAGAGAAGTCAAACTCTAAAACGCTCGTCACCAGCGTTTGACTCTCTAAACATCTTCCAATGGCTAATACAGAATCACTCACAGGACGCCATTTTTTCTCTTCATTTTTATCCTCTTCACGAGAATCCGTTTTCTGTTTTGATCCACGAACGGCCTTGAAATAGTGCATTTTCAGGACTGTCGAGAATCCGACCGCACGTGGTATTCGTGTGATTGTTCGGGGTCTGGTCAATAGGGGTGAGTTGCAGGAAGTGTCACCCTCCTGACTTCTGATTCACATGTAAGGAGCGACGGAACGGTTGCCTGGGAAGGATGTCGGACACATTTTCTTTTCCCCGTCCACCTGCAATTCAAGGATATGGGCGCCAGATTGGAGCCCCAAGCGACTTGGCGAGACAGCTAACCAACTGGGGCATCGTGCACGCGCATGGACAACTATCCAATAATCACAACTAACACCAGGCAACGGTGGCCTATTGTGTCAGACGCAGTCGATTTTGTAATATAATATATGAAAAACTGCTTTCAACAACCTTTGACATGCCGGTGTCGAGTGACGGATCTGTGCTTGTGATTCGTAAGTCGTATACAACATATCCTTTCATATCGTTTCTTTTCAAACATTCAATTTCAAAACGATTTTCATCGATTTGCATTTTTTCTCCTTCTTTTGACGGCCAATATGGATAGCACAGGTTTTCGTCAGAATCGCTTAGTTTATCACTTAACGACACACAGATTTTGCAGCCATCCTGAAAGCAACGAAAACTTGCCAGAAGATGGGTAGTGGTCCCTTGTTCCTATACTGAACTTGCAAAACTTTTACATATCGAAGAAGCAATGTAGAACATACAAATGGGGTACAGAGTCAGCCACCCACGCTTTTCGCTGTTAGGTGGCTCACTCTGTGCTCAAATTCCCACGCTCGCATGCACGCACGTGGCAGTGGTCTAACGGGTAATACTGTAATCTCCAATTGGAAAATTCAAGTTCTACTCCTAACCTTACACAGCGCGATCTAGCAGGCGGCGGGTGCGGTGGCACGCCGTTCGGGTACAAGATCCCACAGACTCGTTAGCCGATTTCAAGAGGTATTCCTGACCCATAACACTTCTCTCATCCCCACCCTCTTAATGCAACAAGCACCTCAGAATTGCAGGCAAGTTAGGGATGCTGCTTCATCAATTCTAGCTTACACGCAGTAATTGCCAATGCTGACAGTTTACGTAATTGGAAAGGGTGGTTTCGTAAGAAGAAACTGAAACAGCCTCACCCTCCAAACCAATCGCCAGTAATCTCGATAATTCGCCTTCGTTGGAGCCTCCATAATGACATAGTCATCACGTTCACAGCATGCATATGTTGCTGGGAAATAGTCGCTATCTCCTTCTTTTAACTGCAATTTTTCATTGAAAATCATCTGGTCAACATGCTAGCAAAAAGGCAATTTCTCAGGGCATTTCAGTGGCTAAAAGAAATGGGGGCAATGGCGAGATGTGAGTTCACTACTTCTTGATGTTGATAAATCCTATTCATTTGCTGGTTGAGGGCATTATTAAAGGCACAGTCCCGAATAGGGCGCGATAAGAGGCCACACATTGCATCGTGTGTATGCCACACAGCGGTTGAGTTCTGGCAGTGCTGTAGAAGCTGCACTATCTCAAAGGACTCCCATGTCGGAAGTTCAAACAACTTGTCATGACCCATGACGACAGTTTGGAATGCAGTTTTAGTTAATTTTGGCTTGCAGTCAGCTCTTTCTGAGTTCTCTGGTAATCGTTCAACCTCTATTTTCAATGCTCTTGGAAAGCCTCACTTCTCGCAAAGTATGCAGATTCTCTCGCTTTCTTCGCCACCGATGCATTACTCTACATCAACCTTCCTTTTTTCAACTTAAAATGGGAACCTTAAAATTATCTGTGCCTTTGACTATATTGGCCATTACGCATCCACCACATTCTACCTCTATGCCTTCAGATTTCTCATACTAATAATCATGGTCATTCTCTACCCCATTGGAAAATATTTATTTACACTCTCGTCACAAGAAGCAACCATACAAGTAGGCTGGGCAGTGACCAACAAGCGTTTACCTCATATGGTAGGCATACCGGTAAGAAGAGATAAAGATTTCCCCTTCTGACATTGTATAAGGCTTCGAAATGCATGGAGCTCCATTTCAAAGTAGACTGGTGAAGAATCCGAGGAAAAGAAATGAGGAAAGAGGACAAGGTGATGCAGTGGTAAACACCGCACTATCACACTCATGGTCCAGGGATTGAATCACGGATCGAATCTGCCTAGGTCAACCATACCATGCATTCCTTCGAGGTCACTTGTTTGGAACTAGGCTAGCCTGGGAGGATAAAAACACTGATTGGTACATCGGCTGGCCACCGCAAACTGTATAGGCCCCACATGCATTCAGACCAACCATACAATTCTGAATGGAAGTCGAATGCCGAGGTGCATTCCAGAAACGAGATCAATTGACCTCAGAGACTTCAACCTTTACCCTTCAGAGAAGTCAAATACGGGAACTGATGCGAAGCGAGATCCCAACCATAATGTTCTGTCGAGCTTGTTCTAACGATTAGGTAGCCCCTTTTGGGATATTTCATCGATGCATGAAGTCAGAGTAAATTGACTGCCATTTGCATCTCCTCAGGAATAGCTTTGCCTGCAGCGGCAACTGTTTCATAGCAAGATTGGACTTAATTCAAGGTAGACATCTCGAGGAAGCCAGTCGAGGTAGTTCTTCAGCTTAATCACTACAACGCAGTTGTCACCTGTTAGGAAAGGAGTTGCCGTCCTCCTCACACCGCTTCATAAGCATCGCAACCCTAACGAAAAACAGAGATCGATTACATGCGCGCAAAATCAATATTCATTTCAACACATATAAGCAGGATGGATCGGTTGGATAAACCTATTATTTCAAGAACGCTCCGAGTCCACAACGAATCGCTACTATCTTCCAGGTTAAATGTACCCTAGAGTTTCAGGGTACAATGGAGTTTCACGGAAAAGATGGTCAGACTCCTGTCCATGGCCTTGCACGAACTTCTTATGGCTTATAGACACCCCTGACCGCTCTGCCACGTTATCAAATAAAGAACTTCGCTGCTAACTGCAAAAGATGGTCTGGCTTCTCTGGCTTCCATAGTCATGGAACACGAAGAACGAGGACCGTTGTGGTGCTGCATCACAATATGCAATACTAGCCCAGTCCGCTTTGAAGTCTGAGACGACCAACACTCAGAGCCTGTTGCTTTGAATGGAACCTACTAGGAGCTTAACGACATGATAGAACTGATTTCGACAACACAACCTGATGATTACTACAACCGGTCTCCTTATCCGAAACCCCTTCATTGCAAGATATATGTCATGGGCTTCACGGTCATCCGTCCTCGGTTCTACTTCAGTGGGTGTGGGTGACGGCTCATTACCTGATTAGATATTTAACCCACACAGCACAGCGCCAAAGCATAAATAACTCCCATTTTTTAGGTTCTATAAACGTACCACATTGAGAACGACTCGTTTTTTCTCATGCAATGGTATTGGGAACCGAGCTTTTTCCTGGAAACTCCCATATGTTATATACCGTTGAGAATAACGTTCCCAGTATCCTTCGTACCTTATTTGCTAAAAACGTTTTGCAGTTGATACGTGATGCTGCAGTGACCTGATCGAACATGGTCCGACGTTGTTTCGTTGTAAACCTCTCGAAATGTGCCAGGAATTCTGACGGTTTTTCTCCATCAGGATTGATCGACTGCAAAATGACATCGGTAGGTTCATGGTACAAGAAAGTAATACTGCTGAACTCACCGCACTGCTTCTACTGAGCCGTTTCCGTAGATGTGGACCTTTTTTAGGTGCCGCCATTATGGCTGTGTACAAGTAGAAAAATGAACTATACCCGAAGACACTTTGAGGAGAGGTTTGCCCATTCTGATAACGTCTATATCAGTCCCCAAAATGCATCCTCGACGGATATCGTGCATTCACTTTCCAAAGCCTATCGGACACAGCGCGACCTCACCTACCAATGTAGAAAGTCTCTAGCTCCCACCTGTAAAGATGAAGGTACTAAAACGACTAGCGGAGGTCATCGCACACATGATGGTTCAGTATTCACGAATGGACCCACTCTGATCCACACCATCACATCTACACTGTTTTGGAGGATCCCAGAACATCACATTCACAAAGTGATTTTTTGCTCTTCTTACAATTAGACTTTTTTCCCGATGAAAATGATAACAGCAGTCCGTACTACCCGTTGTACAAATCGAGGTAATTGCTAAAACGCGGGTGAAAAAATGAATCTGAACGGGATTACCTCAACTATTGCTCAAGAATAGTAAGATTGCTCGCATCAAAGGTCTTTACTAGCGCTTATTTGTTTGGAATCACTTATTACTGAACCTACATAATGACTGAACCTATCGTAGGGCCCGGTGCTCTCGTGTCGTCGCTTCCTTATATCCAAACCGCCTTCTGCATTCATATCAGTTTCGGAAAATCATGTTAATGATCATGTCCCGCCTCTCTCAAGACTTCGGGGATGTCGCAATCGAACCTAAACCTCGAACTCCATTACTTTCCTTATCGAGTGATCCAGCATTAGACTGTCCAAAAAAATTGCGACATAGTAATGTGAGTGTGCACCATGATCAGAACGGCTCATCGTGACGCAAACATGCAACGTACCACCCATCCGCATCCGTTCTTGACGGAAACAAAGGTTCAGCACGGATTTCGAATCCCACGGTAATCCAAGTGCGGAGCCTGACTCGATTGAATGCTAGTAACACGGTGCACCCTCCTGCCCACCCTTCCATCTTCACCGGGTCGTTCACCAGTGTCCCCATTCGACGCGTCGTATATGTGATAAATTGAAAATTACATCCGAACAGGTGTCCACTGCATTTCACTGCACCTCAAAGTCCTGCAAGAGCAGAATTGACTTTTGAGCGGATCACAAACCTAGCCGCTGCAGCCTTTTCCATTGAATGGAAATCGAGAAATGAAGGAAGCGTCATGATACAAAGAGAAAAGGAAAAGGAAAAATAGACACTAACAATGGCTAACTGGTTTCATAGAAATTATTTTATACGAAGCGATTTCAGTCAGTCGAATGGTCTCGAAGAAGAGGAGCCCAACCTCGTGGTCCCGACGTTTTTTGCATTTTGAATCATGGTCTATTCTCAATGAGTTTTATCAATGGATCGTCCGCGCGTTCAATTTTAACGAATAACGACTTCAAACTTTGTAGAGTGGTCAGAAAAATACAACAACATGTATGCAGCTGAGGTTCATCTAAACATCTATATAAGTTCATACCTTCATAGATGGAACCGCAATTAGCATAAACACCCATAAGGCTTTAAACCGATTTATTTTGTATAACGAATAAAGGAACAACAAAACCAATGCACCAACCGTGATATTAATAACAGTAATCCATATGGGTGTTTATAGAATTTGTAGGGTTAGTTTCAGGAGGCGACTTGACAAAACCCCAATGCAAGAGAACGATGTCTATGCTTGCGAAAAGATATACCCAGTAAGGGAATCGAAAGAAACTTCAGATAAACTCTGTTGAATCGTTCGTAGAGGAAGTAGCAGGAAATAATTGAGGTACAATCAGCTTTTCTGGTTACGACCAACAGCATTATCAGCTTGACCTTTCACCATTTCTTCATTCTTTTCGTTGATAATTTTCGTTACTTCTGCTGCTACCTTGTCCTGTAGAAAAGTAGCAAAATATGGTAACTTCTCATATGAACTCATCGAAAGAAAACGCTGAAAAACATACTTGCTGGATGAGGTTTTGCTTCTTGGGAGGTATGTAGAGATGATGCCCACGTTTAGGACCAACAGGTTTGGTTTTCTTTGTTTTTTGCTTGACACCCTTTGGTAGAGTTGTCTGAAATATCGACAGTTTTCCTATAAACAAAAAGTATCCCATAAAACTCCCGGAAAAGAAGCCCTGAAACTATTCTTTGAGAAAAACCTCGAAGAATAAAAGCTCTTCGACTCAAAAATACAACTAGCAACGGGAAGTATCCATAGGCCTCTTAAACAACCATTTGCAAAGATATTCTTAAAATTGTAGAGTAATGAAGAACAAAATTTCAGCGGAAACGTATTTTTAAGCATTGCTATTCATTGTTCACTGTGGCAATGGTAACAGGGGTTTAAAGATGGCATGGGTTTTATCAGGGCGATTTTTATGGGCGTAGAAAGGATATGCTTTCACAGCGGTTTCACTGAGAACTAATGGAAATGTGCTATTCGCCTTACGGAGAAAGTTTCAACTAAGACTAAACGGGACTCATCCGAAGGGGAACAATTGCTTCGCAGGTAGCCATTGCTATAAATCATCTAAGGGGGGGGGGGGGGTTGAAGCCATGGCTCTTCTGAAAGAACATATATTTGCAAAGGAAATTCAAGCGCCCTGCCTCCGCCTTTCTTCTTACAGGGTAGAAGAGATGTAGAAGATGTCAACACATGGAACCAATGCCTATCAGAACTTACACGATAGACTCTCCTCCCATAATGATATCTTTGATTCACACATATCTCATTCAACTTGGGTCTACAATTGCTCTGATAGAGAAAGTAATGAGTAATCTAAACAATTAACAGAGAAAAAACGAAAACCTGAACAGACCTTTTGCTTGATCTTGTGTTGAACCATAATTATCTGATGAACAAGGTATATCCAGCAGCTAGAAAACAGGCGGCAGAAACGAAGGAATGTAAACGAACGCCGATAACCGAAGCCTGATAACAGAAAAACTGACTAGAATAGGATTGACTAGAATAGGATCTCCAGAACACAACACCGGACAAAGCTGCTAAGAAATTGAAAGAAAAAATGCAACAACCGAAAGGCCTATACCTTGTAGAAAATTCCAAAGAATCCCTTTTTCTCAGAGAGCAACCAGCTGTTTATTCGAGGCACTCGTTTAAGATACGCACACGAACAAATAATCAAAAGTGCTACAACTACGAGACCGTCCAGAGAATACGCTGAAAATACTTATTCATGATCGTTGGTAGAGGTAACTGTAGACAACAGAAAATAATCAAAAAACAGTAAGGACAACAGGGAGGCCGCTCACCGTTCATAAAACTTCTGCAATACCAATCACACCACTGCCCTGAATATAAAAATAAAAATGGAAAGGATCAAAACTTATATAGAACTGAGAAATGTGATGAATCAATCGCTGAAAGGTACAACGGACAATACCATGATCAAAAAAACTCACATAAGCAGAAAAACATTTATCAACTCAGCATATCACAAAATAAACTGCTTGAGATCAACTAAACTGGCAATAGAGATTATCACGGCAAGATTCAAAATGCAAATCATCAGATACATCTATCAGATAGAAAGAGAGTCAATTGGATCAGAGTCCTACTGGCTTTTGCTTCCTTGTCTGTCTACTTCATAACAATCCTTATACTAATGCTATATATAAAACCCTCTCGTCAATCTGTCTGCCTGTTTCTCTGTCTCTTTGAAGGGAAATCCGATAACACGTGAAGAAGAACTTGCAGAAGTTGGGCCAGGGTCCTTGTGAGTTGGGCATAGGACAAGACCAACAGAGCTAATGTGAGCTCAGCGGAGCTACGCCCACGGCGAGCAGGGCATGCTTGACAGTGGGTAGTGTCTTGAGAAAAATGTCTGAATTAGTTTTCAAAACAGCCCAGACAGCCGGGAAAAATGGGCAAAGGTGAGGGATGGTCAACGAGTGAACTGAGGGAGAAGGAGACTCACCGGCGATGGGCAGAGCATTTTCGCACTGGGCGGTATTTACTACATAAGAGCATAACGTTGGTGAGCGTGGAGGCCAGGAAAAAAAAACAAACGAAGTCTGCAAGGCGTTAGTCACTTCGGGCATACGTGAATATGTCGAAGCTCTGCTCACAGTGGGCGGGGCGTGCATTCAACGATAGGTCCTTTTTGGAGAAACCTATAACTCGCAAAACGTTCCGGTACAGCGGAAAAGGGTGGGGCTCGCACTGGATTAATAGAGGAACATTCAGCCAGAGTTCATCCGTTACTTCGACTTTCAGCGGAGAAAAAACGATTACAACAGGCTTCCCAACTCCATTTTTACCACAATTAAAAACTAAGCCTAATGTGAAGTGATGTTGATCAGAATCATGTCAAGGCTACAAATACTACGCCCTCTCTATTAAGCGAATAATGACTGTAGAACACGTCACAACTCATAATTTCGGAATCTTCTCACTGCATCCGATTGATACCTTCCAGTTTCCCATCTCAAGGGGTGTTTCAAATCTGTTTCCACCGGCTTCTCCGATGCTGTGGCATTCGACGACGATATCATTGGTGTTTCCTTTGGTGTAATCCAGTGCATCGACTAAAAGTTGAGAATGAAGCAAATGCTGCTTTGTAAGCAACAAGTTCGGAATTTGCTTTGTTGTGTCGTTGTTTTGTCGCTTCGCCTCTGATACAGCCAGTACCATTTTTCTATCAATTTTCCTTTTTCAAAAATACCGACTCAGGACATGAAGCGCTAGTATTCTGTTCTGCTGTTGTGGCTTCAGGCGCATCGCGCTTGTCGAAACTAGATGTGACGAGGGCGAAATCTCAACCTCTCGTTGCTTGTGTTGAACCGAAAAAAATGAAAACTGACCACTTTTACAAGGTCTCTGTTTCTCTTGAACTCCTCGTAGGTAATTGGAAGAAAGCAATCCAGCCATGCATCGTAACAGTTTCGTTCGCTCTCATCAGAAAGCGTGCTATAGGCCGACTTGAAAACGACAAAATTAGTGAAAAAAATTTAGTTCTGAACAAACTCATTTAAGAAGCTCTGCACTTCAGATCACTTTCCTGAGCATCTATCGTTAGTTGTTTATTACGTGCATCATACAAACATATTGTTAAATATATTATGGACTGAGGTGGTGTAGTGGTAAGTGGAGCACTATCACATGCAAGATTACGGGTCTCAATCCCGGATCGATACCTGAGCCCCTGAGCCAACCGAGCCTTCCAGTCCTCCGAGGTCGGTCATTGTATAGGCCCCATACGTATTCATTACACCACTGCGATTCTGGATGGATGTCGAAAGCTAGTCCCATCCATCAAAGGGAACTGGTTGACGTCTAGAGGCTTGTCATAGATCATAGAGAGGATTTATTTCTAACACCAATTGTTGAACGAATCGAACGCGTATCAAATTTATACCACAGATGAAAGAACCAAAAGATAAATAAATAGGTGCTTTCTTCCAAATAAGTTTGTTATCAATAATTAATCACGAGTGAAGCGAAGACCGCCCACCCAGACGAGTTTTAATTTCATGGGCGTGGTAGAAAGTATGAGCAGCTACAGCCATCTAATCAATCGCTCAACTTGTAGAGCCAAGTGCATTGCTCACAAAAAGCTAAATAATTTGGGAAATTGAAAGTCACCTGGAGTTGTAGATACTCCTCATGCTTTTTTGGATCCGCTTCATCGAGTTTGTCAGGATGTAGATATTTCACACGAGCGCGATACTCCGCAGTGATTTGCTCTATCTAGAAAGTGGCTCACTACAGAATAATCGAAAGAGGCACAAAATAACCCTACCGAGCTGCTTCTGTCACATCCCAAGGCTTGATAAAATTCTGGTTCCTTCTTGCTCTTGCCACCGAAAATTTCATCCATGGACGATGCCTTGACCTGTTTCGTTTTCGAATTAAATGACAGCAACGTGAAACAAGGATACTCTTAACAGTACAATATACCGTATGTTGCAACGTTGTCTCAGTATCGCAAGAAATCAAAACGAAATAATTATTTTTTTTCAAAATCATATATAAGGAACCATCAAATCTGTAACAAACCTAGTAACACCTAGTAACAAATTAAAAATCAACAACAAGTCGAACAACAAAAACAATTAACAATGTCAAGTCAGCCTGGTAATGAACCCTGTTCCAATTTTGATACTCTATTGCCTTTTTTCCATGACTTTTCACCATTTTTCTTCTTATCTTTTCCATTGCTTTGTACATTTTGCCTGTTCTTTTTCAGTGCCTCCTTTCGAAGATGCTTGTAATTCTGAAATGTTTCAGAGTACATCAGAGCACCAATTACTACCGACTCTGAAAGCATGGGATTGTTCTGGTTCTGAATCACGGTAAATCCCTTCATAACGTTGCTCTTTTCTATTATGCCTGCGATAACCCAAAACCGAGCGCCTTCATGATTCAAATCTTCCACTAACATGCATTAGTTGCAATCCAGAAAAATCGTTTTCACACTTATGGTTTGAAAAAAATCACCTTGGCAAAGACATCTCTATGATTGCCCCATAGTGGGACGATCCGCTCAAGCGGCTGCGTTCGTCTGAAATTACTGACCAAGCTTCGCAGGTGCTCCTCATCACCAGTCACGAAAAATGCTGTTGCGACATGCCTACCCTGAAATTATTGAGGATTGGTAACGCCGGTATGAGAATCAAAATGATACAATGTGAGTCCATACCAAATCGGTAGTTTTTGAGGCTTCGGGAACTACAATTTTGGCATCAGCGCTATCGTCATTATCTGTGTGATCCAAAACGAGTTTCATTTTCTACAACAACATTTAAGTGATTATCATACTCTCAAAAAATGCCCTAGAAATCGCAGTAAGCAATTGATAGAGAGAGAGATTAACTTGCTTTGTTCGGCGTAGGGTCATTTCCATTAAGAGTACCACAGTTTTCTTCGGATTTATCCTTTCTGCCTAGCATAGCTAGGAAAGAAAAGTTTGGTTTTCTTTCAGCAGATTCAGAAGTTGAAGCCTCCGCTGCCAAACGTGCTTTCAGCTTAAAAATACCAATGAGCTAGCTGAAGGAAGGGGTGTTTGTTACTAATCTTATGAAAAGGCAAACGAATAGGTTCAAACGCTTTACAGCACCAAGACCTTTAGATGGATAGACTACTCGCGAGGCTTGACTGATTACTCTAGTCATTTGCAACATAAAGGCTCCAGTGAATCGAAAATGGGTTGCTATACTGAGAAACCTGGCTATCGAGATCAATTTGCAATGACAACCCGACATTTCATATGTTCAAAGGACATTTCGTGCCAATCTATTACTAAAGGGCTGTCTTTTGGAATAGCAAAGCCTACAAGAAAAAAAAACAAGGCAGTACCTCTTCAGCGAAATCAGGCTGCATTTCGTAATGGATACCATTCTTTTTTGAGCCTTCCTCAGTCTCAGCACACACGGTGGTTTCCTCGGTGCTGTCGTCATCATTTGCACCATTTCTTGTTTCCTGTATTCAACTATTACAGAAGAAATCGTCGTAAACTCATGTCTCACACAAAGTAATTACCTCTTCCTTCTTCAGCCAGCGAACATGCTCTTCGTTGAAAGGATCAAATCTGAAAACAACTAGAAATTCATTTCAAACGATAAAATCAGCCAGTCTATTGTCAACATACATTAGGAGATAGCAAAGAAAATGTACCTTGTGAAAGGACGGACCTTGGTTTGACCTTTGGTAACCTTCTCAGAGGACTTAAGAGTCTTCTTTTGAGGTTTCACCGTGCTGCCCAGAACTCTCGACAGGACTTCTAGATGTTTCGTCCGCTCTTGGTTGACTTCCTTAAGGAAAACCGTAGCATGATCGGAAAAAAGGGAAGTTCATCTTCAATAAAAGAAGTAACTCATGCAGTAGCTCATACATGGTTAGGACCACTGTTTTCTTACGCTTAAACCTCTTCTTGCCTCTCTTCGCCGAAGCTTTGAATAGGTTTAAGCGTAAGTTGACAGTGGTTCTAACCAAGCATGAGATTTCCTAGTTTTCTGAGACTGATCAATTGATTCCATACTTGTGTCTTTGTCTAATTTCTGGGTTGATGTTGCATTATGTGTTATATGGCTTTCGTCTTATTGTTAGCTTGCTCGTTTGTCTACTGCTTTTATCTTCTATTTCGCATGGTCTATTATGTTGATTTTAGAAGGTCGTTTTTTGCTGTGTTTGCCTCAGTAGCGTAATAAACACAGACATAGACACACAAGTAACTGGAACAAAGCAAAGCAGCGAGGGTAATCTTTACATCTTCTTCTTCATCATCACTTCCACTGGACACAAACTTTTCGTCAAGTTTGAAGCGCGAATCGGAGTTGAAACGTGCTTCCAGCTTCATGAGTTTCTCCCCTGAAAATCTATTTATAAGTAATTAGCAGGTAGTCGTTTCAAAATCGCACTACACACAAACCTACAAATCAATTCATTCCAAATAATTCCATTCCATGCTTAGAGACCACCTCCCTTTTCGATTACCATGTTTCAATTTAATACGGACCTCTCATACAATAAGAATCATATTTTACTGGTTATCTGTCGATCTTAATGGGCTCTTAAACAAAAATCGCTTCAAGAATTACCCGCTGCTGATAAGCAAAAGAAAAGATATAAACACGTGATCGAGCGAAAAAAAGAAACAAAACCTCCAGTAAATGAGACTAGTACCTTTCTTTCCTTCATGGCGATTGGTGATGGTTATCGTATCCTCTTCATTCTCATCTGATGAGCTGTCGTCGAAAAGCTTCACGTGGGCTGCTAATGGCTTCCGAGAACCCGCTTGAGAGCTGGAGGGCGGATTATCCTGAACTACCGCAATGAATGCACGCCTACCACATCCTGCTATGAATACGAAAACAGTAGCGGAAATGAACAATATCCTGAAAGGGATGAACGGCCCTGAGTTGGGTGTTAATTACAATATCGAGCTCTAACCTACAAATCTCTTGCACGTCTACATTACAGTACTCTTCACTTTTTTGACTTTTCTAAATCACAACTTCTCGGCATGAACTTCAACTATGATTTTCCAGAAACTAGAGAAATTCCAGGAACTTTACTGAATCATTTCCCAAACTGATCGAGGAAAACTTCAGCGATTAGGCGTGTTTTTTTTTTTTGAGAGAAAGCTTGAGAAATTGCAATTTAAGACTCGTAGGACTATGCTTTTTTACATGCGAGATAGACACTAAGAATGAACGATGTCGTTAATACCAGCGGAAGCTTCCTTCTGATTGAAACAATCGTTCTGGAGTTGAAGGCACACTTACCTCATTGTCGCTGTCAGTAAACACCACGCGCTTGCTTTTCTGGTCTACTTCCCTCAACGCCTTCGACAGAATGGTTTTTCTCTGTTTCTCTAGCTCTTTCTTTGCTCGTATACTGGCAAGTCGTTGCGCTTCCGACTTCGCCCTTTTCTCGGCTTTCCTCTTGTCCTCATCCAATACCATGTCCAAAACTGGAGAACACATGCCATTAAAGAAAAAACAAGAAAAATGGACCACGTCCCGAGATAAATGATGCTAACATTCATGATCACATATGAGCGGAACTGGCAAAAACTTCATCGGAGCAACAAAAATATGTCAACAAAAATGATAATAAACACGTATGCTAAATAAAAAAAATATAAATGATACAAATGAGTCGGAGACGAAACGGAACCAGCCCTGGGTAAGTAAATGACGTACGTGGACAAGTATGATATTAAGGAATATTCAACAGAATCGCAAACCTACCTACAACGAAAAATGAAACAATTTCGAATTTAGAAAACCAGCTTCAGAAAAAATACGAATAAATAAGAACTTCTGAATGAGATACAGACGGGAATGACCACAGTGAAAAACAGCAGCCCAGGCGTAGGTGAAAAGTTAGTCTAGAACAATGGTGTTGAATAATTGCGCAATTACTGGTAATAGTTGTGGGAAAATCGATTCCCCAAACAGCAGCTTTAGCGGCAGGTATTTCTTACAGAGGACAAACCGAGACCTTGTTTACCCAAAATTATTTTGATCCATAAGTGAGCAAAGGGCTATGGAACATCACAAAACTGCATATTTTGCTCTGCTTACGCATCAGCGGATGACATTAACAATTGGATATCATCAAAGCTAGACTCCACGACAGCAACGAGACTTTCCAACCCATCTTGACATCTGTCCAGATACCTCTTGAGATTCAATGCGTCTGCTTCATCGAGGAAGTTCGATTCTTTCGATAGCGCTGATCGTAGTGTTGCATCTTCCACACGGAGAGTTTCCGAAATTTCAGCGATTCGACTCTGTAACTATCACCTTTCCAGGAACACAGCAGAACATTCAATTTAAATTCTATTACCTAACCCGTCCATCAAAATGCTCCGAAATAAAACGTACCTTGACTTGCTGAGGGCCATTCAAACGCACATTGATAGACTCAAGCGCTGATTGCATGCTTTCCTCAGTGGCATCGATTCCATGCGTAAAACGTTGAGCCAAAAGCTGCATGGATAAGACCCTACAATATGATTCATGTATCGAGCCTTACGAAAATCTCTGTCCACCACAACCAAAAAACCTCACTTACCTGAGTAATCGATGTGAGAGCTGCTTTTGAATAACTTTCTGCCGTGCAAGCTGCACAGAAACTGCTGAAACATTGGCTTCGATACGCGATATACGTGATTTCATCGCATCTACAGCATGATTTTGGGCTTGAATCTAAAACAGACAAGGTAAAATAGAAGATAAATTCAATGTCAAATAATATAAAAAGCAAAAGTACATTGTCTAACTGCACTTTCTGTCGGGCCCTCAACTGCTCAAACCCACGAATCGGGTACGGAACGAATCTTTCCGGATCTGGGTTTTCACGCACAGCTTGTGCCCATACGGAAGCATCGAAACCTGAATTTCTTAGGGTTATGAAAACGAAACGGTCCTTCGGAAGCCTCGGTCTCCCCGAAGCGATAGTAAACCTGAAGAAATCCAAAGCAACTACATGTGAATAACCTAGGGTGGTGTAGCTGCATGCTTACGACAACAGGTGTAGATAATCATCGAAATGGGTTGCTGGTAACGCCTGCGGCATAGCCCTACTATTTTGAGGAGAAAATAAGAGCACGTCCGTTTCGTCCCGTTGGAATGAAAGCAAGATTCATAGAGTCGACGAGCCCAAAATCGAGACTCAGTCAAAAGTCACTAGCTCTCAGTAGAGCTTCGGAAAAAACTGAATTGAGAGATGATCAATACTTGGATAGTCGTATTAGCCTTCTTGCTACTTGTCCCCAAGTTAAACCCTATGCTATTATTTCACAGATAATAGGAAAATTCAGGAAGAAAAGTGGATAACATGTACAACAGCATGTGCCACCACCCCGAAATAATGAGCAGGACATGTAAAATCCTACACCTTCAGCAGTGATTAGAAGAGAAAAGAGAACAGTTCACCTGTAGGCGGATCTCTCAGATACAACTCTTTCTGTTGTTTGTCCATTTGGACTCTGGATACAATCTTATCTTTATCCACCTGAAATAAGGCGAAAAAAGCATAAATTCATAGAATACTCAGGAACACGAAGATAGGTTATAGTGCAGTTATAAGAAATTCACAAAAAGAATACCTTAAGCTGTGTTTCTAGTTGCTGCTTCTGAGCGGCCTGATTAAGATACTGCGCTAAGTCCTTGCTTGAGATACGCCCACGGAATTTTTCCGTTACATAGATGCAAATCTTAAAAGAGATATTCTATGAAAATAACCGAGAGAAACCACGGAATTCAATTCAGGTCAAGAATAAACAATGCCAAACCTCAGTGAAATTGTCGGGAAGTGCTGTTACTGACTCAATGTGTGCATGTATTGTTGGTTTACTGCCAAGTATTACAAATAATGCGTCAACGAATTTCTGCTTTTGTTCACTTGTTTGATACCTAGAAAGCTAAATTGCTCAAGGGCAGCCACGAACGTGAAACCAAAAAACCAACTCTGTCATTGGAGCCTTCACTACTAGAGCAACTATTCCATCAGAATCAGTGTGCTGAGATGTTCGATTATATCCGATTGCCTGAAATTAGAATTCCGAAAAAAAGACGAGCCTTAGCATCACAAAAAATCCTGGACATAAAAATAAAGCAGAAATCGCAACCGCAATGCTATTTTGTTCCAATATTATTTTAGTTTTTTCTCGTTTGAATAACGGTAAAGAGATATAAATTGTCAAGCATGACGCTATGAAGTTTTACCGTAACTCCCCCTCGCACTTTCTCGTGAATCAAGGCTGCTACACCACCTCCAACCACTTTTGTGGAAGCGATTATATGGTAAAAGGACAGAGGGAGAAAATGAAGGGGATACACGTGTAAAACTAATAGTTACCGGAGACTGTTTGACTTCACTCCACTTCAACTTCAAAAACCTGTACCTGACGAAACGCCCTCCTACAAATTCGATCAGATACAATTCGGCTTTGCTCTGTAGCTTGAACCTAATTCTGATGCCCGTGCTCGTAAGCGAGCTGGACAAGCGTCACAAGGTTGGCGAAAAAAAAANAAAAAAAAAGAACCCGTACCGTCCTTTCCGGGCCCCGGTCTTTCCCTTACACTACCGAGTCCCCGCTTACCCTCGCCTTCTTAATAGCTTTTATGAGGTGAAACGTTCAAGTTCAAAATTCACTCGGAAAATTCATACTAGCCTTGTGCAGGTTACAAAACCCCTTCTGAGAAACATATGTACATCACCATGCGATTTTTCGCTATATATTTTTTTCCATAAATCACACAAACCTTGATACGATGGAAAGGTCCGCCTTGGGTGTACTGTACTGGCTGTTGACCATCCTTGTAGTAACCAACTCCAACACCTAGGGCTGCAGCCAACTGATTCAGCTTTGCTATCATCTCATCTCGCTCGTCACCAAACAACTCGACTTTCGTCAGAGAACGAACTAGAGCATCCGACTCCTAAAATTGCATAATTTATGAAGTACCATACGTCGCGGCATGAGTCTCTTGCACATAGCCGGAAAGTGTTGCAGAAAATATTCACTTGAGTAAATGGAAATAAGACAATATTTCAGGAACGTTTTTGAAGGAAGCAGAACAGTATCCTGCCATCATTAGATTATCTCTCACTTTTGAAGGGATATATACAAAGAGCAACAGAAGGGGCAATGGTAATTAGCAACAGAACGTGGATTTCGGTAGAGGATTTGTACGGAATAAGGTGCAAGGAAGCATCAGCGCGGAATTTTTGTAGACAGGAAGCAAGGGCAAAGTCGATAACATAGAGTAAAACAAGTTGGGTTGATGTAGGAAAATGTTGGCGACTCGATGGAAATCTCTCGAAAGCTACCTGCAGAAGTCCTTGAACTGTCTGCTTTGTTTCCATAGCCGGTTGCGCTGCAGCTGCAGATCCAAACAGTCCACCGGTCATCGGTTTCGAGCCAAACAACCCTGTTCCGCTCGTGCCAAAACCAGTGCCCGCTGTTGGAAAATCGAATTTTTGATGAGGAATTAACTATGGTTTCAAGAGAGAGGAGCTGAAGAGGGACATGTAAGCTGAGCTTACGTTTAGAAAACAGTCCTCCGCTTGTCGAACTGCCAAAAAGACCCCCAGATGCCGTTGTTGTGGTGGTTTTAGCTCCAAACAGTCCACCTGATGTAGTAGTCGCTGTGCCAAATAGTGAGGTGGTTGTACCCGATTGGGGAACACTTCCGAACAACGGCTTTGAAGCAGGCCTGAAGTTTTCTGGAGTAATTACCAAATAATTTAAGCTGAATTAACTGAAAACAATCCAGATGAAGGCAAGGAAATTACGTTGTGGTGGTGGTTGATCCGAAAAGTGATGGCGTCGACGTTGTGGTCGTTGTGGAGCCAAAAGTAAAACCCGATGACGTCCCAGACGTACTCGTCGAGCCAAACAGCGGTTTGCTTCCGAACAAACTCATCCCTAAAATGATTACTATCGCTAATATCTGACAAAAACAGTTGACAAAACGAAAACGGACTTCTCAAAAATTTCCAGAAGAGTTTTGAATAGATGGAGTATAAATGCTATGAAGGAGCCACTTGGAACACAACCGCGTTCTTGATACTCTGTATTAGCAACCGGTAACAATCCTGGTTGTGCAGGTGCAAAACTAGAAAGCGCTTCAGCAATCTTTTTGAATGTCACAACGCAATGCTCGTCATTCAAAGGAACTTGTCCGCATATGCACTTACTGCACTTTTGTGACGGCATCCACACTGAAGGGAAGTCGTTAACGTGCGGTGGAAGAGTACACTGCTATGTCCGAGGAGTTAAAGGTTTATAGGTTCATAAAGTATGAGGAATAAAGTCTTTTGCGTCGATCAATTCCATTTTTGGGATACGCTCTGCATTCGACTTGCATTTGGAGTCGTTGGGCGTTTTGAATGCGCATGTGGTCTAAACAATGACATGCATGGGCCAGCTAATGTACAGCTCAGTATTTTTTCCGGTGCTAAGTGAGTTGGGAGGGGCCACGCGGCGGCGAGGCGCCTTTTCATGTCTGCGCCCTCTCAGGCGAGATAGTAGTACTGGGCCTGAGTCTGGGAAGGGATGGTGAGGTTGTACTGAAGTGTTTCGTGATTCAAAACAAATTACCTCTTGGCACGTATTATATGCTTGAATATTATGGATACTCGGTGCTAAGTGAGTTGGGAGGGGCCACGCGGCGGCGCG